CATCAGTCTAAATGATCAATTTTCCTATATATATATATGTATGAGCTTGTTTATTTAAATGCATATGCTTGATTTTAGTTCTGATTTTTTTGCTTACCTCATTTTCTTTCTCATGCAGACGCATTTGTCATCTAACTCGACAGCAAGCACCGATCCTGATCCTAGCCGAAGTGTATTGGCAAACGGTGTTTCGTCAACAAAAGACAAACCAACTCCTTTTTTTTCTTCAAAAATGCAAAAAAAGCATTCTCTCTCTTTCTCGTTTTCGTCTTCTAATGACACTCAAACGACTATAGACAGAGATTCGCATTCACGTAAGAATCTGATTTTAATATTCTATCGTTCATTAAGTGCAAAACACATGCATTTAATATGCTTCCTTGGAGTTGATTTAATAAGAATCAGGCTGTGAATCACTGATATCCACCAAATCACTGAATAAAAAGGTAGCCAACATACTCAAATCCCATTTTCATCCTTTACGTTTTGCTTAGATATATTAACTTTTTTGAGGCGAGTATAAGTTGGCTCCACAGAAAGCTAAAGGCGGATTGTTTCTGAGCGGTGATTATAGATTTGCGCGACCCCGCCTCGCCTTATTTCCTGATTAAGTTGATTTGCATCGACAAGAAGCAGGCTTCCGATTATCGTAGATTTCCTATTTTAACTCCATAAGTATAGTTTGGAGATAAATTCATAAGGAAATTCGAATTTCCTATACACATTTTGATTCTTTTTTTTTCCAATTAGTACATTGAAAAAAGGCAAACTTCTATCCCTTTCTAGTTTTACGCTGATTTTTTTCTCACCGTATATCCGATTCATCAACTTTAGAAAGTATTCACAATTCTCTTTTCCATGCCGCTTAATGACAAAGTAGCCATACATATTACGAACCAATAATTTAAGGATTAAATTAGGCGTTTCTAAAATGTAGCCATGTAGTTATTTGCTAAAACTGAGGACAAACACGATTCCATAGCTAATACTCGTGTTTGTTAATACACTTTAATAATAGAGGTAAAATATGTGTGGTACATCGCTAAATTTGTCGATACCATTATTGACTCTTCATTGAAATCTATCAATATTGATCCAATGCTACTTCTAGAGCTTTTATAGATAGACTCCGAATCAAAGCTGACTAGGAAATCAGTTTCCATGTTAAGCACATCGATTAAATTAAAGAGTTGATTAAAAAAAATAATGAAAACCTTTACGTTTATGGAATTTACTATAATTGATGACAAATTTGTCCTTGATGTGTTATGCATCACGCTAGCTATTATTCACAATACTTCTGAGTGAGACCCATTCTTGATTTATTTTGGGCTGATTATGTGCACTCAGAGGCCTAGTATCTCGTTGAAGAAGTGTGCTTATCTTCCACTTCTCCAGTTCCCCGTTTGTCACACATTTTTAAGGAAGCCCTGAGTTTCTATAGGGTTGTAGGTTTCAACCTCATCTAAGCCCGCACCATTTTTTATAGATAATTCACTATATCTATAACCCGACTGCCCCTTTGCCTGCTCTTAACACTATTTGTTAATGATTGCTTAGTTATATTATGACGTGATTCACTCACCAATTCTTTGGATGCATTTCTCTGTGACTGTCTATCCTTCTTGACTTCCTGTCCAGCAAATTTTGGTAGGGAATTGTTCTATGCTCTGATGACGTCCTTACGTCTGTCCATTCGAACACCTGTCACAACAGGACTGATCATTATTCCCTATACTACTTTAATCCTCTCATGAATGCGGGCATACAATTTTTAAAACTTGTCTTGTATAAAAGCTGATTAGGGGGGTCGAACGTAAAGCCTTACATCATTGGCATGTACACGGATTTCTTAGAATCGGCGCTTGGCTTGAAGAGGCCGAATACTTGTTTTGAATCTCTATGAACTTCTCATTTCCTATTTTCTAAATCACCCACTTAATTATTTTTTTACGGAGTGCCACGTTAAAACCCCATACCCCTGAATTTATGGGAACTTGGCGCGATTAAGCAAGCAAAATTGATGGCTTGTTGCGGTAACCACAAGGATACTTTATTTTCGTGATTATAACAAAGTCTTCTTTTAGGGATTGGCTAATTTTAAGTATTTCGCTTTACATTTGATTTACGAAACTCATCTCTTATTCAACAATTCACAAGTAGTTCCAGGTAATGGTGCATTAACCTAATTGTCAATTAGGCTTCGCTCCTGCTCATATATATATATATATTTATTTATTTATATTTATATTTATCCATTTTACAGATGGCAAACCCGGCTTGGATGCCCATTCTCGAGATCCTCCACTGAGCAGGCGTTTTCGAAATTTTCACAATCATTCATCGCGTCGGCCTGTAATTGATTCACCGGCCTGCTCATCTTCTTATGGGGCCTGTCCCCTTGGTATGAGCAAGGCTATTCGGGTCTCCTTTCCACAGGACTCATTTATTTCCCCGTACTTGATGAGTGATGAACAAATGGCACAGATGCCACCACTTTCCATCCTGGTAGGTCGTGGGGCTAAATAAAAAAAGTGTTTTTGTTGCTGTCCTGGCTCCAAACCAAAAGGAAAGTGAAATTTGTCTTGTTAATCAATCGGGCAATTATGATACTTTTTCCACTTTTCATATATTCCTGTCAGCCTAGCTAGATTCACTCTAATTTTTTGGTCAACCTTTCTTTGAAAGACCTTATATAAATTCAGTTTAGCTTTTTAATCAAATTTCCTTCTTAAAATTCTGCACCCAAACTGGTAGTTACCAATAATCCTCATGATTTTGCCGATGGTTTTGACACTATCTTTTCTGCCAAATTCTGTAGAAGATAACTATTTCATGCAGAATTTAGTTTGTTGTTTGTTCACTTAGTCTCCAAACGCCCAAAAATCTTTTGATTAAGTATATTTACGAGCCTAGTGACTTATTGTATAGCCTATGTGAAGGCATAATGATCACGATTGTTTGGCCTCTATTTTGTTCGCAGTCTCCATTTGTTAATCTGATCTCATTTTTGCAACTTCGTTGTTTCTAATAAGCCTCAATCAACGTACTTTTGTTTCCTGAGTCATAGTAAGTAGCTTTTTTCAGTTTCCTATTTTCTGGGAATGCACCAAGTTTACGGTCCGAAGCTGGAGCTTGCCATATCTTGTATAGCAGAGAACTCCAGTCAAGTTGCATTATTCAAGGTATTTTTGTCAATAAAACAAAAAATTGAAAATAAATAAAGTAGAATACCTTTTAAAAAAAACTTATTATTACTATTTACTGCTGCAATTCCGAGATAAAGAGTATCTTTAAATGTTAAATGCTCATTAATGCTTTCTTTTGCTGCTATTTTTATCCTGGTTTATCGTTTTTTCATAATTAAGATTGAAAGTCACAAGGTCTCGTTATGCGGCTTATGCCACTCTTGGTTAAAATAAAAGTGCGCTTACTCTATTATGCTCTCCACGTCGACTCGGGACAGCACATTAAAATAAGCTACAGAAAAATCTGCCCGCCAGGCATCGAATCACTCTATCCTATGTTCTTTTAACTGAACTAAAAAATTATGTTTAGTGTTTTAGAATCGGTAACTGTACGTCGACATGGACACAGCAGGATATTAAAAACTCTATTTATTTTATCCTGTGGGCTTTATTGTTTTATTCGTCGGGGAGACTATCATTTCTTATGAAAATGTATGATTAAAAGATTCGTTGGTTGTCGATATATTTTAGTTTTTGAATAATGAATAAATATAAGACAGCCTTTTTGACTTACTGTTTGTAGCTTGAGACTTTTATATATTATATATTATATTATATATATGAAGGCCTATCCCGGTTTTACTTGATACGAGGGAGGATGTTTTGTGGATTTCGTCACTTGAACGTCATAGTATGACCAAACAATTGCAGAACAACGTAAATCGGCTGTCATCTTATGGTTAAATCATCATGGACTTTCCTACGAAGTAAAGGCCAAACAACCATAGTATCTTAAAAGATTTATTAGAATCAAGTTACTCTTCGTATATATATCGTTTTTTTGCTTTTCTTTCTTCTGTTTTTTGCCACCAAAGGCGTGCCACTTTGACCCGTTCCTCGACGACTGCATCGAGTTGGCCAAACATGCTGACCGCCTTGGAGTACTCGTCAACATGCGTGTCCTTGACCATCTGCCACATGCTTTTCTCAACTTTATTTACGCAGGGCCTGAGTTTCAGCGCGGAAATAGCATCTGCATCGAGATGCTGAAGCAACTTCTTCGGCCGGATTCTAAATCGTCGATCTCGGGAGAGTCCAAGTCGGGTCTCTTCTCATCCTCTTCTTCCAACGTCGTCAGCACAACTAGTTAGAATGTCTCAAGGTTGCCGTCTTCGGTTTCATTGACCCCACTACATGTTGAGCACTTCTGCTCTCCTAAATTATCAATACATTAACCCATATTCTCATATTTGAGGCGGAGACGCTTTTGCACA